CACAACACAACACAACACAACACAACACAACACAACACAACACAACAAAACTCAAAAAAAAACTCAATTTATCGATACTTTAAAATATTACTTTGAAAGTAAATAGTAGCTGTCAGACCATAGTGCTTCTTTTAGCCTGTTTTCTCAAAATTTGTATAATTTTTTTTTTTTTTTTTAGTTTGGTAGCTACATAAAGCACTTCCTCAGTTTTTTCCATGTAAAAAATTCCAGATTTTAATGGAATAAATTACGGAAGAGCGTCAGCCACCAGTCAGAGCAACCATTGTTGCACGTATCGAGCATTTCCACCTACCATGTTTAATATAAAGACTTACCATGTATTTTACATTAAGGAATTTAGGGTCGGAGTCCGTCTTCTATACAAACAAGAAGATTATCCCTTGTTTTTACTAAATTTAATAACGTCTTATAAGAGAGCTATGTATGTACGTATATATATTTAATATATGTATTTGCATGTAAACACTTCCATGGTAGAATGCCATAAGTCACAATATCATTGAAACTCCACCATAAGCGTGATTTACTTTTAGATAAAAGCTATTGAATTATCTAAACATTAACTCAAAGAGGGGAAAACATAAACTTATGTCATTATTCTGCCTTCGAGATGGAAAACGTATTGTATATTTATAAGTATGTAGTAGAAATGTTAATCCCGAGATCCCGGGATCCCGAACTTTTTAAGGTCTCGAAAATCCCGGGATTCTTGGCAAGTAATCCCGGGATTTTCAGGATTTGTAATTTGCACTGATGGCAATAATAGGCACTCCTTTTCATGACCGGTATTGGCTATATTTCTCTTTTTATTTAATAATTAATATTTTTTTTATAAATGTCAAGCTCATTATACATATAACACCGCGCGATAGTAAGTTTTAAAGACAAATATCAATAAATTCGCGAAACCATGGGCCAAATATAATAAAATTGCGTTTTTAGTTTTTCACTCTGACGTCAGTAATTTAAAAATGATTTAAAAAATTCAAAGAAATGTGCTTAGATAAGAAGTATGGGTATAAAATTAATGAGGAAATCCTGTAGAATTTAAACAAATTCAAGTTTCTGGTGCAGAAGGACTGGTAAATATTGAAAATGTCATTTTAAAATTTTATCCTTGAAATTTCGCAATATTTGTTTTTGAAAAAATTATAAATTAAGGGCTTATATAAACTCGATAACTTCCTCGAGTTTTGTTCTTTTAACTTTGTCAACTTAAAAGTTTCCTATTCGTCCTTGTGAATCCAAAAAATTTAATTTTTTTAAATTCTAAGGAAATTTCCTATTGCATTTGTTACCCATATTTTTATTCTACATTGCATTGAATTTTTATAACAATTTTTGAAATTAATCATATCTTTTAAATTACAAAGTCCTTCAAAATAATTCCTGCGGTCAGAGAGAAAAAATAAAAACGCCACTTTAAGTAAAAAATTAGGTTTCAAACCCATTTATTATTATTTATTTCATGGCAGGAGAGCTTCTCAAACAATATAGAAGCAATTTTTTCGATTCAAGTTGTTGAAAAGTAATGAATATCTAAATCCCGGGACTAATCCCGGGATCCCCAGAGTATGACAACGCCATCGCGAAAATCCCGGTATCGGAAAAAGCTGAAAATTAATATCCCTAGTATGTACATACATATGTATGTATATAAGTAGGTAAATATGTATAAGTATATGTATATAAAGTTTGAGAGAAAACTTAAAAGCTTCTGTGTCATTGTGACATGATGTTCAGACAATCCAACAATACGCTGTCGTGAATGTCAAATCTCTGTTGACAAGTGTCGCTGTTATTTTTGCACTTATAATGAGAAAAAAACTGACGTTTCAAAACAAATTTGTGCATGTATATGTATGTACATCAGGGTATATTTTTTATTTTAAACCCGGTTAATATTTACCTGTACAGCCGTGGCTTTGAAGTTTCCCATGTATTTTACATGGAAAAAATAAGTTTTTTCGTATAATTGCTATAAAATCATTAAAAATAAATATTTTTGATCGAATAAGACTATTTTCTTTCAAAGGTCTTCAAAAAATATCACTATGATACTTATTTAACGTAAAAATTCTACTAATGACGATTTCGTTTCTACCAAAAAATATTGCATTTTGATTGTCCCTTTCTCCTTTCGTGTTCAATTCTAAAATAAGGGCAAATTGTGGGAAAACTTTGTGTTCGTTTTTTTGAATGTCACACTTCTGTAAGGCAAAAATAGGAAAGTTTTCTGCCCTTTGAAGCTTTGTCAGGGGAGATGGTTGCCCAGAAAATCCAATGGCTGCATAAAACGATAATAGTTATTATGAAATTCGTGAGCTGGAATAAGGACAAAAAGCAAAAACATGCCCTTTTTAAGGGTGAGTGTAACATCAAATACATCTTTCAGCGTGCAAGAGCCACCCTAATATACATACACATGTATGAATGTGTGCATATTTCGTTTAATGAAAATTCTCATTCACTGTCATTCGTATGTGCTAAATAAATTGGGCTTAAAATTTGTGGAAGACTTCAACTATGTATGTACTTATATTTAGTTACGTATGTATGCCTTCCTGCGCATTTATGCATGAAATTTACTCTATAGACAAATGCGCCACATATGCAACTACGCACCAAGAACTTTTTATATGTGACCTGGTCTACGGAAAGGGGGCTTAGGTGTCAAAAAAATCAATTTTCACTTTTTGGTTGATTCGGATGGAAGATGAGATGATTTTCACTTTTAACAGCTCTTTCACAGAAAACTTTTTTCGCACGTAAGCTCCCTTTTCGTTATCCAGGTCACATATAATGATTTTCGCCAGAACACAGTAAAAATATGTACATATGTACAAATCTTATACAATTTTTGCGCTATTTCGCATACCACATATTAGATATTCAACTACTATACAAGAGCAGACAATAAAGGACTCACCAATTTCATTTTACAAATACATATATATCGCCTAAATTAGAAGACTCCTATCGCCAAATCACCTAAAGAGTCCATTTAGGCTGCGTAAATGGCAGAGGAACGAGTCATTGCGGGCAGCTGTTCAAATTTGACCCCTCTAAAAAAACTCACTCCAATAGAAACTGCGCTTTACAAGAGTCCCAGTAGGACAGGTGAAACACAGTGGGTTTATTTGTCGTTGTTTTTCTCTTTCTATCGACGACAAATTTGATATATTTTACCGTTCAGCAAAATATGTTTACGCTGCGTCTTAAGTATCTATTTTTTAACGCAACTTCAAAAAAAAAAAAGCAAAGAAGTATAAGTTTGGGCGGACCCAATTTTATATACCCGGCGCAGGTATCAACTATCGTTGTTCCAAATTTTTCGAAGTGAAACTTCTTTAGCGGCGGTTGGTTGGTTGGGAGTAAATTGGAAATTGAATTGGAAACGGAAATTGCACACGGAAATGGTACAAAGGAAATGATGCAACGGAAATGGTTGGGGCTGAAACAAGGGCATCTTATGTGTATGCACATGGTATTAATTTAACAAAAACGATCTAATAAAAGGTTAAAGAATAACACTTAGAAAAAGGCCAATACAAGAATGAAAGTAAAGGTGAGTGCGTACATAGATAAAGAAAAGGATAAAGGCAAGGTAAAAATAAAAACAAAAACAAAGATGCGTAAAGATAAAGGCAAAAATGAAGACCAAGGTAAATTTAAACACTTCACTTACATATATGTATATAAGAGCAAAGGTGAAGGGGAATATGTAGATGAAGAAAATGATAAACATAAAAGTAAAGAAAAAGAGGAGGATGCGGATACCGATAAAAGAAAAGATGACGATAGGGGAAGAAAGATTAAATTAAAGGTAATTAAAGAGGAAAGGATATAGAGAGAGACACAAAGACTCAACCTGGGAACCATTTTGTGATTTTAGAGATTTTCGGAATTCACGAGACTTATCGATAAAATAATCGATATTTTTATCGGTTTTGTTATCGATATTTCTATCGATTTAGTTATCGGTATTTTATCGATTTTTTGTTATCGATAGTTATCGATTTTGTTATCGATATTAATAGATTTTGTTGTCGATATTCTCGATTCCTATAGGCAGTTACAAACAGCCTTTATGCGAACAAAGTTCTAATACCATCTGCACAAGTGCGCTCGGGTATAAAACTGAGTTTGAAAACGAAAACTAAGAACAAGGTTGTTATTTATAAAGTGTAATACAAAATTTTTTGATGAAACGAACAAGAAATGAATTGAAGTAAGCTTCACCTTAGTAGTGTGATCCAGGCCAATTTTTTGTGTTTTTTATGGTTTCAAAATTGGTTGGTTTCAGGCTAAGTTCATTTGTCTGATGATCAAAATGTTTTTATAAAACACGTAGTATGTAGAGAAATTGTAAACCCTTTAACTGTAGTATATTTTTTATCTCCATAGCAGGAGTACTTTGTACGTTGTTGGTGTGGAATTTCGACATTAACTGTGCCTCCTACTTGAATACATATGTATGTATATTTTACGAAAAAAATAACCAAAAATGGCCCAAGCTAGAATTTAGGAGTTTCTTAAAAAAAATCTTCCTTTTACAATTTCATAGCACCAGCATAGAGCAAAATCTTGATTGTATGAACGATTGCAATCAGTGCGCTACCACATATGTATGCATATAAATACCTAGAAAACTTTATGCTACAAATACTTCATTAGCGTATGTATGTATATGCGCTCACCTGCATAGAATAATGGCAGCATATTAAAGATGATGATGACCGAGAATAGAGCGCGTGAGAATGACTGGAGATCAGCCAGAGCCACCGTAAATTTCGTACGCATAGAGCAACGCATTGTAGATAGAAAAGGTTTAGTAGTCGTGGTTGCAGCAACACCATTAACAAAGCCAGCAGCAGCGGACGCCACTCCGTCACAAAGCTCGCCGACAGCGCACCTGTTGCAACTACAAATGCTGTGGTGGTTTTTATAATGAAAGATACTTCGTTGTTCGACTGTTGCACATGCAACTGTTGTGGGCTGTAGTAGCAATGGTATTGTTGTAGAAGCTTCAATCTGTTTCGATAACTGAGGCGTTGCATTGTATGAGCAATAGCTGCCGGCAAATAGTTGTGAAAAATGTGCTTTAGAGTCATTCGATTGACTGGCATGTGGTAGTTGTTTTTGTTGTTTGTTGTCATTAACATTTCTGGAAGATTGGCGTAAGCATGAGACAGCGTCAGACGGATTACAATAGCAGCCACACCCGCTAGCTGCTTGGCAGCAAGCGTCCACATTGTACTTTTTCTTGCATTTCGTTTTCCCTGGTTGGCAGCTTTTGGTTTTGCTTTTGTTTTTGTTGTTCTGTGTTTGTTGTGTAATGTGCTCACAACCACCTCTAAACAGTTTACAAGCGCCTGCAGCCACACTACTAGCAATATCGCCATTACCGACAATAGAGATTTGTTGCTGGATATAATATTTTTGTTGTCGTTGCAACTCGCTACCAGTCGCTGCTGCGTTTGACATGTTTGCAAATCCTTTGATTTTTCTCCTTCTACTTTCCGAATGGCATCTTTGGTGCATTCGTTGTTGTTTTTGTTTTTGAGGCCTCTCTCCTGGTATCTCACTGTAACCACTGCAATGTGCTGAACATTCGCTTTTACTTCTGCCTCTTTGCAAACCTTCCACAAAGCGGTGATTTTCAATATCATCTTTGCCTTTGCAATACTTTTGATTGTGCGGCAGCAATGACTTCGCTTCGCTTGAGTTTGGTTGTTTCCTGGCAGCAGTTGCTTTCCATATTGATGGCGATGCGATGAAGTGATATCCCTTTTCACTCCTTTGTAATGACTGCAAATGTAACTGTGCCGGACTCTGTTGTAAGGATTTTCGCAATATCTGGTCGCTCTTAGAATGTTGCTTCTCATTCGTTGTTCCTGTGTTCTGGTGTTTTGTGCCCAATTCGCATTGAATCGAAGAGTACTCGACAACGGTAAGTGAGGGTTGACGATGCGATGACAATAGGCTCGATATTTCTGTTGAGGCGTTGGTTTTTGTTGCTTCTGTTGATGCTGATTTTGCTGATGCCTCGTCTTTAAATTGTTTCCGCTCGTTGGCGAGGATGTATGCCTCTGGCGCTTGTATGCCGGAAGTGTGTTGCACGAAACAATGCTGAACATATGCTGTTGTTGTTGGAAGTGTTTGTGTTGCTGTTGCCTCTGTTTTTGTTGTAGTGTTGCTGTAGTATTGTAATATATCTGCTGAGGCCATGTTGTGCCCTATTCATTCATCGCATCAAACGCGTCGTTAAACCGGAAAGAATGAGACAAGTGAGAGAAACAAGATGAAAAGGATTACAAATAGAGGCATTGAAAAAGCGTGTCTGTTATTTGCATAAAATCATTTAATCCGAAAATATATTTGAAGCGATAGGAGATATAGCACTTCGCGACAGCCGAAACCAGCCCGGACTTTGTTAACATTTTCTGAAAGTATAACCATCCGGTAGTAAAACACTCGATAAATTTTCAAAAGTTACCTCGTATATCTCGGCCTAACTAATTTTCGAAAAAAACAAAATTTAAAATAAATGTTTGAACGAAATTATGGTAAAATTTCATGTGAAATATTTTCGTAGAACATTTTAACTCATTAGCTCACGTCTGAAAGGGTCGTTTTGATCCTTACTTCAAAAAATGCCGCAAAAGCAAATTTGGAAGGTCGTTAGAGGATTGATATATTCTAGATTCTTCTTCGGAAAATTTTACTAGGGATCTTCTCAGGCAAAACCTCATGCCACCAACGTAAAAGCCTCTATAAAATTTGAAAAAAATAAAATCTATGCCAATAAGGAATAACAGCTAAACTAAATTAAAAAAAAATAAAAAAATTTTAAAAAAAGCAAGTTTTTTTCTGCCTCAGCAAACGCCTAATGAAATTTTCCGAAATAAAATTTTCCAGAATTTATCAATGCCCCAACCATTTACCATATATATCTTAAACTTTAATTTCGCTCAGACATTTATTTTAACCATTTTTTCCACATTTTTGAAAACAACTTAGGCCGGGACATGAAATAAAAATACGTGCTAACTTTTGTAAATCCATCGAGTGTTTTATTACGGGATATGAATACTTTCAGAAAATATTAGCAAAACCCGCGCTGGTTTGAACTGTCATACAATTATCGCATACAGAACATATCGTCGTTTAAAGTACAAAACCGCATATCGTCTTTCTTCAAAACCGCATAATTGACACTTTTTGCCAAAAATTGGATTGATACGCGGTTTGCATTTTGTTGATACGCGGTTTTGTACTTTAAATGACGATGATGATATATATTCTCAATGGGTTTAAGAGCCGCACTCAGAAACTGTTATTTAATGAGAAAAACAGGGTTAAAATATAAGGGCTCATTATTTCTGTGCTCGTTTGGAAAAGTAGCTTATGTCGAAAGGCTGGCTTTAGTATAATACGGCATTCCCTTTATTCTTTAAACGACAAAGAATTTTTGGATGAGACTTAACAAGAATATTGACTTGCTAGTATCGGAACTATTTCTTGCACGTTTATTTGCCAAAAGTTTTTCAACGGCTCAGCGTCGGTGAGTCATTCGCAATCGTATGCTGCGAATGCCGATTTATACTAAAGCCAGCCTTTCGACATAAGCTACTTTTCCATACGAACACAGATTTAATGAAAAATTAAAGTATGGCCAAAGTTTTGGCCCTTTTTTTGTGGCATCACTCACATTTTCCTGCCTCAGCAATCCCAATGGCCGAGTGAGCAGAGCAGAGAGATCCGAGATATAATCCCCGTCCAACGGAATTTTCTTTTTCCCCACTTTATTAATTTGTTCATTGAATTTTCTGTTATTTGTTATATGTTATACACTAGCAAATACCCGGCGTGCTTCGCTGCGCCTTAAAAGTACTTTTTTGTTGTTACTCCCTCTCAAACTATTACCATATTATTTATAAAAAAAAAAAAGATCTGAAGAGCTTTATGAAGTTAGATTTTCTAACAAGTTTTCGAAAAATTAAACATTATTTATTTTTTATAATAATGGGTGCTAGTTAATATATTTTCGAAGATATTTACAAAGTAGGTAAAGCATCGATTTTCTCCTGAAAATTTAATTTCTAATCTTATAACTCGAGCCTACATATCGCGAACTATCTTCGAAGATGTATTTATTCGGTAATACGGTATATTTACGTTACTTAACAAGGGGAAATAATTTTTTTTTAATTTGAAAAAAAGTCTACAATTTTTACAAAACAGGTATTAACTAATAATTTTCGATGTAGTGACAGCGTGTAACAAAACAAAAATACTTTGAAGGCGCTGCGAAGTACGCGGTGTGTTTCCTAGTTGAAGACATATCTGGATCAAAGATTTCTCAAATACTTTCCTTTGATACCCATATTGTAATACTTAGCTCATGTTATCGATTTAAAAGAAATACAATTCTTTAAAAAGGTGGCAACCCTACTTCAAAAATATTTTCGGCATAAACTTTCCTAAACTTCTTTAGTTTGATACTCATATTGCAAATTTCATAAATTAAAATTTTCAAACAAAAATATTTTCGGCTGTAAGCCTTCTCAAACTTTCTTTTGAAAGCCATATTCAGTATTCACAGGTGGGCACTCTCCAATTTTGTTAATTTTTATTTTAAGTTAGAACTCTAGCAATACTGGAAACTACATTCAATTCGATGCATTAGTTTTTGAGCGTTGCGCGTACAAACATGCACACAGACAGACAGACAAAAGTTTTAAAGATTGCTGATTTTGCTCGAATAAAAAACACCCATATTAATATAATATAATATATAATAATATAATTGTTTTAAAAAGAAAAAAATTTATTTTTGTATTTCATTTAATTTTTGGATTTATTTCTTTTTTATTCACACTTTTTTCATTTAATATTTATATTTGTTTTAAAAAGGAAAATATTTTTATATTTCATTTAATTTCAAGCAACTACAAAGTTTAATTTATTTTTCTTGAAATATTTAGGTTTTATTGTTTTAAAAAGAAAATTTTTTTTTTACTTTCATTTAATTTTTTGAAAGTTATAATTTTTTAATGTCTTCTTTAATTGTTCTTTCTTCAAAGCAATATTTACCAAAGTGCCTTCTTTTTGTCCTAGATATCTCGGCTTGGGCTGAAGAAGTGACTTATGGCTTTCGAAACGCTACTAGCTCCAGTTTATTTTTGGCAGCATCATAGTTTGAAAAATCAACCATATCGTAAAGAATCATTTCTATCCAACTCATTCCTCATTTCGTAGCTATGCAAGTTATGTCTCCCGACACCCAACATCCGTAGGTATGTATGTATGTATATGTACATACTTTCTATAAAGCTCGATTTATTCTGTACTATTTAGCAAAGGTTAGTTACTCGTTCGGGGTAAACAAATAGAACTATAAAACAGTAATACACAAAAATTTTCAGCTCAGCAAAAACTAAAGGAGTCAAAGTATTTTCTTCTTATTTAATTTAAGGTCTTATGAACAAAATTTTTAGTTTTATCGTGCGGTGCAGAGCCATTATTACTATTCGAAACATAACTGACCGTGGGTAAAGCAAGCGTTTTCCAGCCGAAGTCCAGTCACGTTTAGCGTTTGACTTTGCAATCTATTTGTCGACATGTCAAATCAAAGCCTCAGAGAATACTGAAGCCTTTCAAACGGAATGTCTATGAGAATTAATGGAAGACCTGATAGAAAACATATTTCCCTTTGCCGCAACTAGATATAATTCTTTCTTCAACTATGTATATTGCTCTTCCTCTTCTTCACCACTAATCTTGTTCCATTATTAAGGTGAGGTGGATCAATGTAGCGAAAAAAATAGAAGGCAATCCAATTTTTAAATTAAGGCGAACGTGAGGAGCGATGGAAGTCAATAGTACCAGGGCAATCCACTTAAAAGAAGACAAAAGGCACTCTGGATGGTCAAAAGAGCCAGTATGCCGGCCCCGCAACACCTACTGTCTTCGCGAGGTTGGAAGTAGGCTTCCACAAAAAAAAAAATCTGATCTGATTTACGACAACATCTGACTTATGTAGCAAAGTGTTAAATAAGCTCGGATCTTGTATAAAAAAATATGTCTCTTCATGTGATTAGGGATGTACATACAAGCATAATTCTCGAACACAGGGGCGTATGCGCAACATTTAATAAATCAATTTGCTTCCATTATGATTACGGTGACCATCCGTCCTGTATTATATGGGACAGTCCTCTCTTTTGACCCCTTGTCCTAGTAATTTAGTTATTTTACACTGGATGCCAAATGTTCTGTTATTCTTTTAATGTTCTGTATTTGTCTCGTATTCGGTGTTCCGACGCCTTAACAGCTCATGATGTTGGTATGTGATCGTAATTTTCTTTATAAAAGTTTTTTTTTTCTAATCTGAATACCTGTGTTTCGAATCGGGGAATACATAAAGTGGCCAAAATAGAAATTAGGACTCGACATTTTAGTAAGTTTTGGCTAATTTTCCTTAGTTTATTTAATGTTTATTATTTATTATATGAAAGTAATTTGTGATGATACTATAAGGATACTGTTTTAGGGAAAACAGTGTGGAAAAAATTTGCAAAATTATTTTTTTTGTCCCGTGTGCGGCTCTCATTAATATGGTCACCGTAATTATGATTGTAGATTTCGGTACTTTCGTCTCGAAGTACAAACATACATAAGTGTAAACTTATACTTAAAGGTGTATATAATTGCGACTTGATATGCGAGTATAAGCCAATTACTTTCCTAAAGTTTTAGGGCAATTGGCAACTTTGACGGCAACGGCGCGAATGTGCTTACTACTAGGCGCGAGTTTCGTAAAACTATATTAATAAATTCAAGTAAGTATGAGCAAAACCCACAGGAAAATGGGCCAAGTTTACTTTTCCATTAAAAATTTTGCGTTTAAATAAATATAACCAAATAAAAAGAAAACGCCCGAGATGCTTGCAACGTAATAACTAAATCATAAGCAGTAAATTTTAAGATTTTTACAAATACATATGCAGTTATGTAGAGAGTTTGACTGCTGCTGTATTGTTCTTATTGCTCACTGGTAACAATTTAACATTTTTAAAAATGTATGTAAGTATATTTATGTAAGTTCTGTGGCAGCGACTCTTTGCAGTACATATGTACGTAGATTTTTTTTAATACCAAGCACAGGAAATTATTCTCCTTTTTATTTTCTGTATATCTGAGCATTGCTCTACGTCACTGATGGGCACTGCCT